TAAAAATTACAACACTGGAGACTTTCTAGCGAGAAATATTTAGTTTTGCAAGCTCTGTAGCCCATGCATTTTTTTGAAAACTTCATTTTTGTGTGGGCAGCAAGTGCTTGAGTGCTCAAGCGCTTTAATTTTTGACCAAAATAGAATTCTCTTCTTAGTAGTAAAAAACGTCGTAAGTTAAGTTAGCCAAAAGATTTTAAAGATAACGTACAAAATTTGAACGGAAAGAATGAAAATGTTATGACTTGTTATGCATGGATAGTTCGAAAAGAAGGTTTCTTCGCTTCTATAAAAATGCTTCTTCACGTTCAATAATTCCTCCTCATTATTTGAGCTCAAAAGGATTTCCTTTCCTGCATTTATCCAAAACATAATCGAACGTTTTCAATTTGACCCATTGCCAGATGACAATATAATATATGCTCTAGTACGCGTATTCAGAGTCATCCTAAATTTTCAATTTCTTGGCAGAAGTGATAAAAGCTGATTTCTTCTCAACGATGAAGCTAAACTATACACATTTCTGCTTGATCGTAAACACTTCTAATGGATTTGAAATTTCTGATCAGAGAAGTTGCGAATAAGCAAGGTTCAGATTAGGCTATAACTTTGCAGCAGGTAGTCCGTTTCAGCCATGTAGTTTTTTCGGAGCCAAACTTTCAACGAAAAAAAAGAACAGTTTTCTCAGGTTATGGATTTTTTCCCACATCTACTAGAAGGTCCCAAGCATCTAAGTTAATTCAATAAAAAAAAAAAAAACAATCAAAAAATCTACATTGACCCAAATTAAACACGATACCGTAAACTACAGACGTATATTCTTGAAAAGCGTAAATAACGGAACCGACGCGTGTTTACCTAAAGTATAAAATGATCCCGAATTATGTTTTTTATGTGGCTGCTGTCAGTTTAATTATAAATTCGATTCCTGTCGACAAATATCTGCCAATTATAAATCTAAGCTGTAATAATCTCTTCTCTTTCGACATGAATGGTGTGTTGGTGTATTTGCTTTGCGTGCGGGTATAATATAGTAATAGGTTTGCTAAATATTACCATAACACTATGTACTCTTATGTGGCTTAGTGCAAGGGGTGCAAGGCCGGGCTTATCATAAATCTCTTGATACGACTTAGTGCATTTATTTGGAGATAATTGAAGCGAATAAGCGAGTACTTTCTATCATAGATTCGATCTTAATAAAATACGTATTTTGTTTCATAGTTAATGTACTATAAATTTTTGTAATCATTGATGTGTAGATGTCATAATCTATCGGAGTATATGAAAATCGCTGAAAAGGTTAAGGAATTCTTTCATAACGAAGGCATTCATTCAACAACTATTCAACCTGAATTTGTGGAATTGGATTCTGTTTGTTTGATGTCGGATGGCACTTCAAGTCTCAATATGAGCGGTTCCGATTGCTGTGCCTTAGATTGTCCGCCTACAACAGATAATGGCTGCGTGAAGGCTACTTGTTGCCAAAATAATAATAAATTACTGGTAATAGAAAAGTTCATTATAATCAGCGAATGCGCAATTATTTGTTTCTTAACAAAAAGTTATTATCATTTGCTTAGAATCAGCTGCCTTCTCCCACCAGTTCACCGTATATGTGTCGGCAACGTAACTCTACCCGCAATCATGCCAATGATATCGAGGCTGGTTCATTGCTAGAAACAGTGCCAACAACAGGAATTAACGATTCACCGCCAATTGGATCAGGAGGAGTAAGTGGTTGTGGCGACGGTTCGAATATGGCGCAGCCAAATGGTGAAATTGTTTGACAACATTCACAAAATTTATTGCCAAAAACCTCAGTATCTATGAAATCATTGTCATCATCAATATATCAGCAAAGCAGTTATTATCAGCAGCAGCAGCAGCAGCAGCAACAACAACAACAACAAAAACAACAAATGCATAATCGTTATGTAAAAGATCAACAACAAAAACAGCATCTACAACCAAAGGTAAAAAGCCCAACTGAAACTAACAGTGAACTGCCAGGGGAGAATGTTGCTAACGAAGATGATTACTTTATGATAACTTCTGAGGCGTTATTAACGCCACCATCCCCATCCACAGCATGTGACAACAGAAATGAAATGTTCCAGTCACCTGAGAGCAACGGTACAACGATCACTGCTCAAAGGAGGCACACATTAAGTTTACGTGCCGAACAGCACAATCATGAGCAAGTAGAAATATCAACTGCCACCTTTAGAACAAATGATGAAGTGGCCCTGTAACCTTAAAATCATTTCATAATTTTCCATATTACAATTGCTACGATTATTATTGAATCATACACACACGTACGCATGCATATAGGAAACTTAATAGATGACTTTCATTTTATAATCAATCAACCACCAATAACAAACAATACCATTCTTCCTCACACCACCTACCCCCACTTAAATAAACCCATTGATGACCAAATTTAATTTCAATTTTTTGTACTCGTATGGATGGAAATTTCAAAGGAAATTTCTTCTAATGTCAAACACAAACAAGAAAATTATAACACAGTTTATATATATATTCTTTTTTTGTTTGTTTTTTTTTTCTTTTTTTCTCCATTATACATTATAGAACAAATTTAATGAAGACAAAAATTAATATACAAAAACACAATTCTAGGTAATGATTATATTGTTGATGACTATACCGTAAAAAAAAAAAAAAAAAAAAAAATTGAAAAGACGAAAAGTTTAAATCAATCCTCCTTCCTCTCTTTGTCTGATGCGAAATTATTTGAAGTTATTATAAAAGGCAAATAAATTCTTGCAGAAAAGTTCCTTTTTTCTTTCCTGATTGATCTGTTGCTTTATCGTAGAATCTTCGCTGTAGAAATTTAATTGAAATAACTTTTTTATAGCGTTAAATAATCAATGTGAAGTCTCTTTAAAATTCTTTTAAAAAGCAAGTTTATTAGATGAATTTATTGGCGCTTGTGTGTATTGTTAGCCGCAAGTGTTTTCGCAAAATGCTGTGTTTTTCTTTTTTTTTTTTTCATATATTAATTTATATTATTTACAAACAATACGAAAATGCTAATGTTATCTATAATTTAAGCAAATTATATTATATTTGTATATGTAAAGAAGAATGTTGCAACAAAAGAGCCGGATTTGCGATGTCTAATAAAATGAAGAAGTTCAACTTTCGGAAAAAGGAGGAGATATCGTTGCAGATTTATAAAATCTAATTAAGAATGTTGTTGAGTTTGATTTTGGCCTGATGATCCGCACTGACACGGTGACACGGTCCTAGTTAGGGCTCGGGAATGAAAAATGATAACAAATGAACGTAAATCCCATGTGTAATTGACTTATCCAACTCATTCTGTTCTGAAAAACAGACTCGCAAGCATATAAACCGATACTTTCGATAAAAATGATCCATTAAAAAAACATCGTTAATGTACGTAAGAGTATTATTTCATAAGAGTAGAGGAGGAGCAAGCACAGGCGGCTTCTTGCATTCTCAGTGAAATCCTGCAGTCGAATGATTTAAACATTCAACCAAGTTCAAGAATAATTGAAAGCAAAAGAAAATCAACATTTTTTAATAACATATACAAGAATATATTCCCTTTCCCAAAAAAAAAAAGAAATATATTTATTATTATTATTATTATAATACTAAAATAAAAAAGCCTCCTCCCACCGTGTTCTCTTTTTGTTTTTATATGGATATCGAACATTTGGATAAGACAAAGCCGTTTCTTGAGGCTTCAGTGAAGCGCGGAAAATCTCTACTTATTTTACGCTCGCGCAAATACGAATAAACATAGATAAAGGCACGCTAAATATAAATATGAAATGTCTTTTACGTGAAAAAAGCAAAAAACCTGTTAGGGCCATGTATATATTTGAGGTTTCTTCTAAAAATTTATATATGAAATTATATACTTCGAAATATGAAATATTAAATGATAGAGTATAAACTAAGTCGAATTATTGGGAAAATGTGGAGCTTTCGCCATCTGCATCTTCAATTTGAATATTATAAACAGCAAGATGAAGAAAAATGATGCCACGCTAAGGCATCCTTCCATACACTCAATGGACCTTAGCAGTTTTTTTCGGCTTCCTCTACTCTAAAATTCGTTCGGTAAAATGTGTAGAGAAAAACTCACATATGCTTTAGACCGAAAGAAATATTAGGTACTTGCAAGACTTTTAATCAGCGACTTCTACAAATAAAAATGCGAAAGAAATTGGAAATATCAGCGTACATAACAGTTGAATTCGATGTTTTTGATCTTCGTCTATATAAAATAACTGTTTTGCGTTTACTATTACCGATTTATTCAGCGTACACTGACGCTGATCATGAAGCCCTCAAAATTGCATTATCGCCATTCATTTTTGTTTGTTGTTTGATTTGAAAATATCTGCTGACGGATGTCATTAAACGCTTTTCGAAGCTTATGGTGATGCTGTTCCATCGTATTTCAATAATCGGTTTTGTTTCAATGATTTAAAAGTAGTGATTTTGATGTCAATGATAAAAAAGGACCAAAGACGTTCGAAGACAGTGAATTCCAACACTTACTGACCGAAAATCCAACTGCAACTTTCGAACATGTTAGCAGAAATGCTAATTTGACATTTTGCGGTAATAGTTGTCCAGGATATACTGTTAAAAGTCGAATTGGAATTTCTACCGCATCCACCAGACATGGCGCTTTCTGATTGTCACTTCTTCAGATCGATGCACCGTGGCTTGGATGGCACAGAGGTTCGCAATGTCTGGTGGGTGGATCGTTGTCAACGAATAATCAGAAACGAATGGGGGAGAGATATGTGACTTCGCTGATATACGGAAATTATCCGTCTTGCAGACAATATTACAAAAGTAAATGAAAAGAAATGATGATGATTAAAATCTGGCATGATGGAGCGCCAAAATATTAAAGAAAAGTTTAAAGTGATTTTTACTCATTTTTGATAGATTTCGTTTTTTGTTAGATTTATCATTTTTGAGTTTTTTTTTTTTTTTCTTTTCTTGTTTATGTGATACCCAACCATCGAGATCCTTTTTATAGCCTGCTCTTTTCAAATGATTCCAAACTGTCATGTGGTTGATGTTTAGTGCCTCCGCTATTTCCTGACAGCTTGCGTGTCGGTCTTGCTGCACTAATTGCAAAATATCATCGACTTTTTCAGTGACGGGCCTACCAGAGCGATATGCATCTTTGACATCGAAATTTCCGGAACGGAATCGAGCGAACCATTCCTGGGTTCTTCGTTCACTCACGGCATTCTCGCCATACACTTCACAAATTTTTCGGCATGTTTTTGCAGCGTTTTTACCTTTTTTGTAGTAAAAAAGCATTACATAGCGTATTTCTTCAGATATTCCACTCATTTTCAAATCAATATAACTTTTTACAAGAATATAGAAATTAGAAAACTATCTTCACAAAAAATGTAAGCTAAAATGTAATCTTTAAAGCACTTGTTCGCTTGAGACAATCAGGATGGGTGTTGCCAGACATATAGGCGTCAGCACCATCTAGTGGCAAAAACCCGCGGAGACTTCTTATATGACTTAATATGTACGTTTAAAGACTTTGCATATTTTTTCTAAATTTTATTATTTTTTGTAAAAAAATACAAAAAAAAAAACGACATATTTACATACATATACAACGGTGTAAAACTCGCCCTTATTAATTAAATTATAAAGTTTGGAAATTTTTGCTGCTTAATGCTTACATAAAGTTGATGCTATAAATTTCCATCAATGTTATCATCATTAGTTTCCTCGACTATGGCCTCATCCCAGGGCCCATGTATGTTGTATTTGTGACGTTGTTGCCTAACAAACAAATATGGGCAGATGAAATTTATGAATACAATTAACGCTGCATAAACACATAAAACATTTAAAGAAACAAATGATAATGCAATACAGCATGCAACAAAAATAGGTATTAAAAAGTATGGCCGCCAATATTCTCTTATAACGATAGGGTAGAGGACAAAAAATACCGCCGATTCAACGAGCAAAACAAAAGCATGGTATGAGGTAGGAAGACGTGAGGCCAAACATATAGAACCGAATATAGCAGCATTTAATGAAATGGCTTTTGATACCATAGCCACCGACAGACCATAGTCGCAGAATATTAAATTCAAAACCATAACAAAGAACGTCATCGAAAATATGGTATCGGTGGAAATGGCATACGTTAGCGTGTGCAAAACTGGAGCAAATAAATAACCAAATAAGAACACAGCCAATAACGTTTTAGAATCTTCCAATATGCAATGCAAATTCAAGTTTCTACCGTGACAGCATAAATAACCAATTATGGTTATTATAAAGCTTGGCCATAAGACTGTGGTGGGTCCGACTCGTTCACTGTACAGCATATAAAAAATAATTAGAAAGCCCGTTATGCAGGATATTTGGTTATTTAATATGGTTACACCTTGTATGGCTTCGCCTAATGTGAAGAAACGCACATGTAAATTAGTCTTCAAGTCCTTCAGGAAGCTGGGATCTGTATAATTATCTTCATAGTCAGAATTTTCGTATAGATTCTTACGCCAGGGCTTGCGCTTGGTTGTCATTTGATATTATACTGCTGCCTTTAATTATATTTATTGCAAACAATTTTGTCGAATTACAATTAGAAAGCCTTCGCTGTTACTTTACTGTTTGTATTATCATCTGGTGTTGCTTTTACAGCAACAAAACAAAAATAATAATATCGTATTTAATCTAAGTCAGAGATGTCAAACGAAATATTAAAATTGAGAACACAAACACCAATGAAAAATTTTCATACTAAAAGGAAACAACTAATACCAATTACTTTTTACGGTATCAATGCCGTTTTCAAAACAAATTTGTAAAATTCGAAAAACGACTAAGCTGCAAAGGGATGCATGATTTTGCAATATATTTTTTTGTTTGATTGCATTCATTTGATTAAAAGAAAAAACTTCATTGAGACTTTGTTGGAACGACCGAAAGATCACTTGTTCCCATTATAACGGCATATACATTCAGAAAATAAAGAAAAGGGCCAAGCTTAGATGATCAAAGGATCAACGGAAAAGATCAAAATAAAGGCAAAAATTAAAGACAATGCCTGGCTTTATTGCGCGGCCAGTACACGCACATGAGATGCCCAAATACAAACATTAAGAGTCTCGCAAGATTACGCCAGACGGATTACTAATTATTAACAAGATATCTTGGATCACCACAAAGACCGAAAATGACCAACCTCCGAAGATATCAACGATTCGCATTTGGCCTGTTTATTGGAAATGAACACGTATGTGTGTGCGAATGGTCATTTTATTATTTTCGTTAGTCTAAGTCAAACTTGTCTGCGTAAGAAAGAATATGTACGTGTGCATATAAATGTATGTTTAACTTTCTAGCATTTACTTCTTCCGCTACGGAACTTCAACCAGGCTCCATCCCGTCGAAAAAAGTAAAGAATACAATCGAAAACAACTGGGAATGTTTTGGTTGAATAAGGATTTGTAAACTCCCTACCCTCGTCTTATAAAATTTGCCTATTTTCGTGGTAAAATACCAAAGATTGTACGTCGTTGCCATGCAAAGGTATGTTTTTCATGGATTCTTCATGTGATAAGGGATTATGAACTGACGTTATCAAAGTTTAATAAAAATAAACGTGTCAATTAACTTCTTATTCTTCATGTACTTTCATTATAAAGAACACAATATGACACTTTGTTGTCGTATCAAGGATTACTTCTTATGAGAATTCCGATAACGGAAGCAGTCCAAAAAATGGACATACGAGAATAAAATTTTCCGTACTTAATTTCTAGATCAAATTAACACTATAGGCGAACTTTTTCTATGAATTATTAAAAATTGTATCTTTTTGCCGTCTAAAGGTTTGCTTTTCGTACGGATAAAAAGGAAGCTCAAAAGATTGTCTTATTTTGACGTAAAGTTCTCATATCCGTTTACTCTGGGGTTAAGGATCATCGATTTCTGTCGAGAAATTTTGAAAATTAGACATCATTTTTATATAACGACGTCTTCCTTGGGATAAAGCATGTGGTAAAGCATTCTGCTACAAAATTGCAGCAGACAGACAAACAGCCGAGCTTAAATCGTTCCAGAAAATGATTCTGATTTGATCGATATAACAAAAGGTAGACCTATCTGAAGCTCACTCGAAATAACAGCGCAACAGTTGAATGAATTCATTGCAACCATGCATAAGCTTGGCAACCGACATGCTAACAATACAATATTATTTCAAACAAAAAATTAGATATTAAAAATGAAATGTTAGTTTAAATACGACATAGGTAATTCACGCATATTAAGCAAAGTTGCTTTAATAGACTTCAAAGAGTCTGATAATGAGAATAAGTGATAGACATCATTTAGGTTTCTGCAAACAACTCTGAGCGGGTTAAACAGCTCATAATTACATTTACATTGACTAAGCTTAATCAAGGTAAAGTGCCTATTAAAACTTATCTCACCAAGTAATGCGGGCGAGTCAATAGTACCATTTATTACTTTGATTAAGAAGGAAACCCCAAGAACAAATCTGCGTTTCTCAAGTGACGGTAAAGATAATAGAAGCAACTTATATTCATAGAGTGGAAGAGAGGCAATCACAACCCAAATTGCTAAGGGCAAAGAGTAAGAATTGCTTCTGAACAAATTCAATTGTATCTACATTGCACCTATAGAAAGGAGGCCACACAACAGAGGCATACTCAAGTATGGGCCTAACCAAACACATGTACAGCCTTTTCCGAATATAAGAATCATCGAAATCTTTGGACCACCTCTTTACAAAACCAAGCGCGGACCTAGCTTTGCTTAACGAGAGCTCAATACGCAATTTAAAACATAACCTACGGTCAAATAGGATACCTAAATCTGTGAACGAATCGACGTCCTCCAACTTATGCGTATCAATGAAGTACTGAGTAATGAATGACTGCCTTCTTGAGAAGGAAAGCTTCTTGCATTTATTTAGATTTAGTTTCAGAAGATTCAAAGAGCACCATACAACCAAATTATTCAAGTCACTTTGAAGCTGATGTGTTTGCGATTCTACAGAAAAGCAAGAAAACAGTTTCACATCATCAGTGTACATTAAGATCTCGTTAGATTTAATCACCGAGGACAAGTCATTAATGTATAAATTAAATAAAATGGGTCCTAAGTGGCTGCTTTGACGTACGCCAGACGTCATGGGGAATTCATCCGAGGTAATGAAGTTAAACCAAACCCTGAATGACCTATTGTGCAGATAAGAGCCTATCCATTTCAATACACAGAAAGGGATGCCAGGGTATGGAATTTGAAGATGAGTAGTCTATGGTTAACCAAATCAAACGCTTTGCTAAAATCAGTGTATATGACGTTAGTGCGAGAGCCAATAAAAAAAGCCTTGAAAACATGAGAAGTAAATTCTAGCAGATTGGTGACCATAGATCTTCCTTTTCGAAAGCTATGTTGGAGAGGAGAAATATACGATTTGATGGCAAAGGCCTTATGCTGAGTCATAATTCGCCCGAAGAGTTTAGGCTAGATAATCAACTTGGCAATGCCTCTGTAGTTCTCTACAAGTTGTCTACTTCCACTTTTGTGAATAGGAATAAGGGAACAAGTCTTCCAACACAAAGGGAAAGCACCTAAATTCAAGGACTTGTTAAATATCTTTGAGATAACACCGCATAGCTCGCCACCACAAGATATTAGTACACATGATGGAAATCCATCAGGTCCAGGCGCACAATTATATTTTAGAGAGAGAAATAGATAGTTTGTTGACAATTTGAAATTAGCAGTCGAAAAGTTTTGTTGGAAGTATTCCGCAAAGACATTTGATGTTTCAATATCATCCGAGGACTCAGAGCCATTAAAAGAAACATGCGAGGGATTTATAGAGATTTTTCTTTTGGAATTAACGAATTTAAAGAAGTATTTAGGATTAGCGAAGAGAAAGGATTGAACAAACTGAAGGTATCTGCTTGATCGGAACAGATGCAGAAATAGCTTTAATTTTTATATATTGTAGAACGACGACAGTAAGCTATCAATACTTCCAACTGAGAAATCAAGCATAATATGTGAAAGATTGATTTAGTATTGAAACATTGATTTTATGGAAATCATAAAATTTATTTGAAAAAGTCGAATTTGGAACGTTATGGAAGCTCAACAAACCAACATGCTTGTAATGAAAAGAAATACCCAATGCTGGATGATAAGGATCCTCAGGTAAACTAAAAGAAAGACAACGATTAAGACAAATCACGGGAAAATTGACAGAGCAAAGATCAAGCAGTCTACAATTGTAATTAGGTGTACCGTTGTATTGAACTAAGTTATGATCGAATAATTCATCCGCTCTACCAGATGTTGAAGTAGAAATCAAACAGCCAGAACTGTCACTGTAGCACCAAGTGACTTGAGGCAAATTGAAGTCACCCAATGCAATGACTGCATCGGTAGAGTTGGATTGCTTGGCTACTTTGCAAATGAGGGTGGCTTGTTTCTTATATATGGAGAAATCGGAATTTTGGGGGAATATAGGAAAAGATCACATATAAGCGTTTATTAGAGCATTTCGCTCGAATAGAGATAAATTCAACGTCGGGAGTAGTGGGAAATTCAATTGAATAGGAGGAGACTGCCGCAGATATGGCAGTTAAAACACCACCACCATTGCGATAGAATCGATCATTCCTGAAAACCTGAAACGAATTATGGAAAAGTTCCAACGAATGTAGGTCAGGCTTTAACCAAGTTTCAGTGAAGGCCAAACACTGAATTAAGGAAAGTAGAACGAATTTACTATTCTGATTATTACTTTTAGGCGATGACGCCTGTGTAGATTGAGTGACGCCAATGAGAGGAGGTACACTTGCCACTTCAGCATAGCTCGAACCAGAAGGATTTCCCGGCATATTTGTAACTTTTTTGTTACCGACCGACTCAACAATAGCAGAAACGCTAACGTTCTTTGTAGATTTTGGAGAAATCGCTACCTTGCACCAAGGAATCGGACTTAGGAGAACTCAGAGGTAACAAACCACACGCTACGCTACGAGTTGTACTTTTGCTAGCTTGGGAAGAAGGTGAGTGCGCAATATAACGACACTCATCAAACCTAGTCTTAATTATTTCAAAGTTTTTCTCATAGAAGATAAATATAGTTCATATAAGTTAAATTCACACTTTATTTTTTTATAGTTTTTTATAATTTAGAAACAAATAAACCCAAAAAACTAAGAAATACACTAAGAAATTTAAATATTTCTTGCACAGAATTAAAACGCGACATCAACACGCAAGTAGAGTTGCCAAACTAGTATATATATATATCTATATAAATATATGTTGTTTGAAAAATTGTGAAAAACTCAAAAAGCTGCCACATTCACCTGTTTTACCGTTGGAATTGGAACACAGGTATGCAGTGTAAAAGCATAAAAAACATGAAAACGAAAATTAACAGTAATCTCTAAAGGCACAATACAAGAATTTTAAAACTAACGGTAATTAAATTTTCGTAAATAATAGAGAGATTTCAAAATTGTCGAAAATATATCAATCTTTAGCAATTAATTTTTGAAAACCAAAAACTGTACTATTTGAATAATTTACTATATTTTCCTTTTAATCTTTGTTTAATATTTACGCAAATGTTCACATCAGATCAGACATTAAAAATATATATTTTTAACAATCGAAAAAAATAAAATGTTTTTGCATACATTCTTATATTAACTTTATTAACAAGTTCCTAAAAACTTTTGTATTGCACAACAATTATTTTTCACTCCTTGAGCACAAACAGTCCTTTAAATTGTATTTATAGGTATTTGCTTGGTTGCAAGGTACTTTATACCGCTTTATAGTTTTTATAAATATTAAAATTGCTTCATTTAAAAAACTTGCTATTCACAACATATATTTTTGGTAAAGTACTCAATAGAGAGATAGAGAGGTACAAAACAAACCCGAAAATGTACATTTAATCAGCGCAGTATTAATGTAGTATGTAGACACGTTCATTACTTCGTTTGCTTTTAAAATTCGTACAAAATGCAAAAATTTACAGGCAAATGCCTGCCATTGCTATCAGCAAAAGTAAGGTGGGATAATTGACGCAATTGTGGAATTATCGTAACGCATCTAGAGTAAAGGCAAAAATACTACGATTTTAATAGGCCTGATATGTATATACGTGCAGATCTTATGTTAAAAAACATATGTATGGATTCATACATGTGCATAGCACGATCAATAGTGAAAGAGGAGAAGCGAACATTCATCGTTTATAGTGGAGTAGGGTAACTATATAGTAGTCGTGTTTCGTCGACTACAGCATTTTTATTTGTTTATATTTTGTGAGTAATTGCAAGAAATAATTAAGTAATAACTTCTGGAGTTGTGTTGAAAACTCCCTCTACAATATTATATACAGCTTATATATAAATACATATATATGTTAATGTGTGATTTTTTTGAACGCCTAAAATATTTATGAATATTTATTTATTTTAATTCTACTTATACATGAAACTCAACTAAACAAATAACAGTCGAGTTCAAGTGAAGTATATAAATTCTTAGCCAGTTTTAAAGTGGGAATGCATCTGGACGTGCCCTTCTGGTCATCTGTCTATCGATTCGCCTGTTCAACTGCGTAAACCTTCTCCCGTTCGCAAAAATGAATATGTTGCCTACAAACTTGCGAAAGAATTTGAAAGTAGACCAAACTTTGCTTATCATGTTTTCTGCTTGTTAATCGTAAAGTATAACATATAAATTTCCACTTTTATTCTGAAAAGAGAGAAAACCAGCCGCGCCCACCCACTATTGTAGAGTACGAAGAAGTAGTTCTTTTCCTTTTTTTTAGTCTTTTCCAGGATTACGGTGATGGGTATACAAGGGTCGGTCGGTTATTTGCAAGGGAAACCTTCTCAGTTTATGTTGTATAGTGGCCATGTTCATTCGAACCATTTTCAATATCAGCCTACGTGTAAGAGTCTTTCATGTCTGTGTCTAACTTGAAGCCAATGTATGTGTGCATTGTTGCGGCTAGGAGACAAATGTTTGGCAGACAGATGGACATGCTTAAATCGATTCAGAATATGTTTTTGATCAAGAATTTAAAAGAATATAGTTTATGGGATTCCTGAAGCTTTCTTCTGCATGTTGTGAAGTCTGTGACAAAACGAACATATCTCCATCCTTCAGTTGTGGATATAGAAAACAAACACATTTTCCCTGATTTCGATTTATAGCATATGCAATTTATTTATTATAGGGATTTTATGAAATACATACATATATGTATATGATATTTACGTTATCTGCAATTTAAAAGCTTATGAATACATTTTATTTAATAAACAAATGCCCACACTACCCCTCGTTTCTAATTTTTTTTTTTTTTCGCTTTTTTAGATTATTTACATGATTCTCATTTAAATTTATTCCCGATGTTTGCAGTCCAAGAAGAGTTGGGCTTCATTCTGTTAATAATATAAATTAATTAATTATTAAAAAGAAAAAATTTAAAAAATAAAATTGGGTTTAACTCACTTGCACGAATCTAAAGATTTCCATTAACATATCATTTGACGATTTGCAATTGCCGGGTTGTGTATCGAATGCGTTTCCTGAACGTTTACCCCAACCCGGAGAGAAAGTCAACTGACATTCGACACAAGTTAGAATCAAAGCGAAGAAAGCAATTGCGACAATAGTACGGATGGTATACATTTTTGTTAATGAATGCTTTCGAACGATTGTGAATGCCTTTTATAGTTGACGACCAAGCATCCTTAGCTCTTAGTGTATGTTAATTGAACATCATGAGCACTTGAAAGGCTTTATGTAATTTACAATTTAATTGCAATAAATTAATTACTTTTTATTTTATGTGAGATTAGATTAGATTTCGAAAAAAATAGAGCAGTTTGCTTTTTTTGTTGACAAGAATTTTTCATATCTTCAAAATATGTTTTTATTGTATCCAATTTTCTTATCATAAATTGCTTACTAACATTGTATTAAATATATTAAATGGTATTACCTTAACCTACGTGTGTCTTTTGCAAAATATGCTTACACCTTATTATATAACAACATTGTAGTAAAAGTATTCCTAATGTTTTCAAAAGCTTTTCTGTATTTTGACCTCTTCAATCTTCTTAGGACATGCATACATATAACGTACAGTTCAAGCATTTTTTTGTTTGTTTGTGTAATTATAATTTTAAGACACATATGTAAATAGAAATTGAGCGATTTTAAGACAATATATGAAAATTATAACGTGTAGTATATTAATTGAGGATGTGTCCTTTGACAGATTAAGGCTGCTCATCAGAACTGCTGGTGCAACGAACACTTAGTTATTCAAATGTAAATTAATATCCATTGTGGCCATAGTGTAAAAACCAAACTTCTTATCGTTTAACTGACAATCGAAGACATTACGCTGAGCCAGAATATATTTACTATGTACATGTGTCATGGTATAGGAATTGGGATTACATATCTTCCATAAGGAAGTATTATGCGCATGCTATCTGTTAATACAAGGCTTTTATTTTCGAGTCACTAAAGACAGGTGCCTTCAGACAGAAACATAACACTGATATAAAGCAATTTGTCCTATATTTGATAGGAAAAAACTAACGCATTAATTGCCCTTTCCAGGCCAGAGGTGAGAACAACTATATACTACAACTACAGCATCTTTAGTTCATATGCATACATGTGAAGCCTCGACTGCAGCTGTCAAAACGCGTATGTCCGAATCATCAGTATTGTGTCGGTCCTATTTCTATACGCAAAATGGGGAACAACTCCTAGGCGAAACTTTTTTGAGAATTCTGAAGACGTCCTTTAGAATACGCCAGACACATAAGTATGTCCATCTCATATCAACTGCCAACAGAGATTTGCGATCAATCACACAAGCAAAACAATCGGTATCGAAGTGGGTGTGTTTCAATTGAACAGATTTATATAAATTTGTCTATGATGGTAAAAAATCTCTATTGATTTTTTAACTTATCGCCGAAGGAAGAAGGTACATAAGATGTTTTCTTTTGTTTAGAACATTTGAATATTCGTATTAGATTAGCGGACGAGACCAGTTTCTAATCGTCGGGTATCTATATTAGCGAATTCATACCTCCAATTTGTAACCTTTAATTTATTAACTCTTGATATATGATTATAGTGTTTGCGTATTAAGGAGGAATTGGCCCTATCGTGCCCACATTGAATCTTTATCACAGTTTATATTATTCTATATGAGAGCAGTAGTAAACATAACGATCTAAAAAATAATTAGTTTGGTCAAATGAAGATAAGTCAACAGTGTTTGCATGCATTCGCTTAATTATTGCTCTGTCACTACTAGTAGACGTTACTGATAGCAAATCGGGCAGATAATACCCAAAAACGAGTTTATCGCAAGAGAAGTTAATTTGGACCTAACGCTTAGCCATATACTCAACATATTGTCGTCTGTATATTAACAATATGTTTATTCTTTAACTGACTCTTTTATGTTCCTGCATTATTTTTCGCCAGTAATTTGGTTTTTTTCTTTTTCTTAAACACTTTCTAATTAAAGTGCGTCTACGTCATAGAAACCCTTCAAGTAGGTTCAACAGAAAATCACAGTTCTTTCAATTACTATAAAAAGCCATAGTCGCACTGATTTACCATCCACTAGTAGAAATGAATACCATACGAGTTTTTGTTCAATTTGCTTTCTTTGTTTTAATTTTGGTTTGCGTAGAATGTCAATTGACATTTTCACCGGATTGGGGTAAACGTTCTATAGCCTTTACAAGTGGCAGTAGTAAAGACTACTTTGAATCTCAAACGGGCAACTGTAAATCATCTAACGAAATGTTAGTACAAATTTTCAGGTTTATGGAAGTAAGTATGAAATGGGATTTTTAATTTTTTATTTTCAGCAAATAAATTTTATTTTAATTTTAGAATAAAGCTCAGTCATATTTGAACTGCAAAAACAAGGAATAAATCTATAAGAATTAAAGCACAAATATTCTACTATGAGGATAAGTACGGGTGGACAATGAATGTTTGAAACAAATGATATAAAATACTCTTTTTATTGTATTTAAAAATATTTCAAAAAATTAATGTATAAATTGAATAACAAAACTAGAAACTTTTCTTTTATGTAATAATACAATGATGGTCTTAATGCAATAATATGATAAGTTACTAATGTTTTAGTGTTCGCCGACGATATCAAGATCTTTTGTTCATTTAACTTAGGAAGTGACAGTTTGGTATTCCAAAACAATCTCATCGAGTTATCGGATTGGCGCGAGCATAATGCTATGACTTTCAACCGAAACCGCGCAAAAAGTTATCACTATCTGAGTCTATTCCGTTACCTGTCAATTACTATTTAGATTGTTATAGGCTTGACAATATTGTATTCTTCAATGGTTTGGATGTCCTCATACGTCTGAAATTCAGCTTTCATTTGCAGATTCTGTAGTTTGTGGCAAATAAGTCTAAATATTATTTGTTGACTCGTACTCGACTTCATGTTACGCTAATAAGATCTTTTGCCGAATATGCCATGATTGTACGGTCATCAAGTTATAATGAGTACACTGAATTTCTTGGATAAGTTCAGAAGTTTTTTTCAAGAATTGCATTATGTGGTTTGGATTGGGGTGCCTACAACGATTGTAACCTCGCTATGATAGCCGCCTTAAACTTGTTATTTTGCCGTTTCTTCTGAAAGACGCATTTGTCTTGATGTATGATTGCGTGTGATGGTTCCTTAACTTCCATAAATCATATCAGGCGTGACATTCGTAGGTAAAGTAAACCCTGGCTGTGTCCGGCCAATATTCCCCTTGATCTGATATAGAAGTTTGTCAATTTAGCGTAGTTTAATAAAATTATGACTTTTACAGATCTGCATGCATAGAATGAACTCGAGTGTTCTCTTAACTTCTTCTTATGGTCACTGTATTTTAGTAATTTTTATTGTTCTTCTTAACGATATTGTGTTGCAATACACTAGGGCGATATCCATTGGTATTTTGAAAATTGTGAAACATAACAATTTTTTTAATGCATTTCGCTGTTTTAAACTGACCCAATTGTTATTTAGTTTTAAGCTCAATGTACTTATTAAGCAATTTAACATACACTGTTTTTCCTTTAACCTTCTTTTCGTCTCCTCTTTAATTTTGTTTTATCGTTGATGTATTTTCATTTAGTTAGGAGTTCTATATAGTGAGTTATTGTCTATATGTTTAAGATTAGTATTTTTATAGTTCAGATGATATTGTAAGCGTAGCTGAGTTTACTTGGGCTGAATATTGGGTACTCGCACGTATTTGCATCAGCGAAATAGATCAGTGAAAATGATAGAGTAATGCGGATAAATTCGATGATTTTGACCTTTCCTACATAACCTAAGAATTTCCCCTTTAGTATTATTGACTTGCGTAAACAGACGCTGAATAATTATATTTTACATTTATAATTATAACCATAAATTAAAATATACACATTGTGGTTGTGGTTACATATCTTAACATTAGGGTGTATATCTAATTGGTGGTTTTGTATTTGCGTAATATTTTCTTGTAATATAAGACATGTATTTTGTAGCTTAAAGTTTATCTCTACAGTTCTTATATTAAAGTTTGTATTTGTACAATTTTAGTTGTGGTATTTCTCAGCAAGATTTTTGTGTATAATTTTACTTTTTACTAATCCATACAATCCAATATTTGTATATATAAGTGTTTAATCTTGATGGTTTTGCTTTCCTATTTCTCATTTATATAACCATATCCTCCCATTTAATATTCAAATACATTTATTCCTCATTTCGATGCTATTTATTCTTCAATAGTCTTAATATTTTTATCTTCGTTTGAATATTCCTTATATACTTTTCATATAATATTCTTCAGATATTCTTTATCTTCGTTTTATTATTCATCATATATTCTTCATATGAATATCCTCTATACTTTTTCTATCTTCTCAAATTTATTTTCTTACTTTTATGTATTCTCGGCATTCTAATTAGATCACTTTTTCCCAGAGCGTACAGCAATTGTCTTTCTAAATACTGTCAATTTTCGATTTTCGGTGCATCTTGTGTTGCAGCGACCACACCGTGATGAAATTCATATTATGAGGATGAGGACCATAATAGTTTAATTTTATTTGGTTGGGACTGCTATTTATTGATTTTGTATGCTTATGTGCATTTTTGGTAATAGCTCAGCTTTTTCTTTTTTTTTTTTGTAACTTTCTTTTTTTTTGCATTTTGCTGTTAATTT